TTGGTATGAAAAAGGTCCGTCAGCATTTGATTCAATGATAAATTGTATTTGCTGACCATGTCATTGTATCGACCATAGAACTTACCAAATGATGACTTTAAACGAGACGGCTGATATTCTTGTTTCATCAACTTGCTTGTCAATAATTTACGTCGTATTAGAAATTGTTTATATGTAGAGCAAGCTCTTACATATCGAATCAACTTCGTACGCAAACAGAATTTTGTTTTCATAAACTGTTGAGGCAACTATTATCATTATGCATTTCCATTTTGTGAATGATATGTTTTCAAAACATGTGCCTTGAACATACCCCATTAAAGATGAAATGAAAACTGTAGTTCAGGATCTTGATCCTGAAACAAAACATACTCATTTACATCATTATACCTAAAATGTCCTCAAACATATTTTCACTGTCGTCTAATAGTGAAAAGCAACTTAACATCATATGCATATTATAGTTACTTGTTACCTTATTACAAAATTGACAAAATTTACAAACAGTTTTCATCGATGAAACCTGAATAAAAAATTGATTGATAATCTTTTTGAGGGATCTTCTCTAGCAATCTGCCACAATTTGTTTGGGTTCAACATAGTATGTATTTTACCGAAAAAAACATATCAGGATTTACAGACAAAGCAACACGCCATTGGTTTTCCACTGCTGTCCATATTGTTTTGATAATCATTCTTGAAAATTATATTTTACTGTATATAATGCTACAATTGTTTTCAAACATATCTAAGAGATTGTATTTGCTAGCCGTTTGTAACATGTTTTTGGTTGCAAATTTTTTTTTAGATACATGAATATCAGAAATAGACTTATAGATCTGATAATGTACAACAGTTTTCTTCTGACTCATGGAGTTTACCTAAGAAAAGGTAGGCGACATTTATCAATGTAGCCCTGAATGGTCCACAGTCCAATATTCGATATGCTTGAAAGCGATGAAGAAAACTTTGAGAATCCTTGAATAATCCTGGCGAAGTGTCTTTGAACATATTTAAGTTGTTGCATGTCTTTTAGTGGTAATAACGGCCATATCTCGCAAGAGTAGAGGGCAGACGGTAGCACGACCCGTTTCCATATTCTTGCTGATACAACAGATGAATGTCACAGTTATTAACACCAAAAAAATATAAAGAGTGGATTTTTGATCTCGCAGTTTTACACACTCATTCTGTAAGTTTGTCACTTTTCATATTTGCCTGGAGAAGACAACCAGCATACACTGTACTTTCAAACGGAGGTATTTCATTGCCAAAAAGCCTAGCGCTACAAGATATGTAACATTTTTGGTTTTTCTAAAAACAATAAAAACACTTTTACGTTGATAATAATGGAGTCTCCAGGTGAATGCATAGTTTTCTACAAGGTTAAGTAAACACTGTAATGATGTTGGTGAATTATTATGTTGGTTGCTCATTAAAGTAGTATCATGAAGAAGGATATGGATATAACCAACAGTATTCAATCTTAACGTCCATTAAACAAATATACAAAATAAGAGCAGAGCAAACACAGACCTCCGAAACATCAGAGGTGGGATCAGGTGCCATGGAGGAGTGAGCATCCCCTACGGACCGGTCACACCCGCCGTGTGCTCATAGTCATAATCAGGAAATAACGGAAAAAATCCGTAGTCAATTCAGTGTATAAATAAAGGACTAACAATTGATATGAAAAACGTCAGTCAGCATTTCATTCAATGATAAATTGTATTTGCTGACAAAGTCATTGTATCGACCATAGAATTTACGAAACGATGACTTTAAACGAGACTGATATTCTTGTTTCATCAACTTGCTTGTCAATAATTTACCTCGTTTAAGAAATTGTTCATATGCAGAGCATGCTCTTGCGTATCAAATCAACTGAGATATAAATACTCCGCATGCAGGTGATGAAGGTATATTGCTGCATAGGTAAGGGAATTTGACGATAGAAAAGTTAAAGTCATCACGTTTATCATATAGCTTGGTTGTTAGATTACCATTAGTGTCTTTTTCAAATAAAACATCCAAGTATGAAGCAGAAGTGTCGGACTTTGTGGTATCTTTTATCTCAAGCTCACGAGGATATATCGGGTCGACGTAGGAATGGAAATTAACATTATTAATTGACAATACGTCGTCGATATATCTAAATGTCGAGTTGAAGGCCACAGTGTTTTCTTCTTTTCACGCAAAAGATTTTGTATAAATTCTGCTTCATATGAATATAAAAAAAAGTCTGCTAATAACGGAGTGCAATTTGTACCCATGGGAATTCCAATAGATTGTTGGAATATCTGGTCTCCAAAAACCACATAGATATTGTCAATGAGAAACTCAAGCATCTTCTTGATGTCAACTTCAGAGTACTTATGTGTGCAATCAGTATCTGCCAAAAAAAATTTTCAAATGACCAATGACGAGGTAAGTAAACTTACGAGTCCCATTTTTGTTGAAGAAGCAGCTGTCAATGACATCAAAAAGCCTGGATTTTAATTTGTCGTGGGGAATTGTTGTGTATAAAGTTAAAAAGTCGTAAGTTTTTATGCTGTAGATTTTTGTAAAGTCATGTGATTTCAAATTGTCTAAAAGTTCTTTAGAATTTTTAAGTATCCATATCTGATTTACACCACTTCTTGAATATATAGTTGTACAGTACTCTTGAAGTTTTTCCTTCAGTACTGTCAATTTTTTAGTGAGAAGTAACAAAAGAGGCTTGGTTGAACATTTACTGGAACCTGCAATGTATCTTTGTTTCTAAGGATTCTTATAAAGTTTCGAAATCCAATATATAAAACGTAGTTCAAATTCATTTTGGCTCTCTGGAATATTAAAAGTATTCAAAACTGACAGGTGATTTTGAAGAATTTCTTCCTAAGAAAGAGAAGTATGAATATAAGTAGGATTACCACTTGTAGAATTAAATCCAAGTTCTTCTAGAATGCAATTTATACAATGAGCCTTACAAACGAAGACAATGTTGTTACCTGCTTTGTCAGCAGGACATTTCGTCTTCGTAGTAAGTTTGTAGTAAGTTTGTTTACAACATGTTTTTGTATATTTGTATTTGTTTTTTTTAGCTTTTTACCATCAAATCATCAAACATCAAACGATCATCACTCTTAGATCTCGTCAACTTTTGTAAACTGGGACACACTTTTGCCTATTATAGGATCCGCGCCCCTGCGTGTACTGTTATTCTGAAAATAAAGTGGTTATCTTGCTGTAATCCGTGTCTCTATAATTTCTTTGAATAAAAGTTACATGGAAGGAAGTACACTTATATAAGATTTTGGACAACATTTTCTTGTACACCCCAGGGTATGCCCCACTAGCTAGCACCACCCCAACTGTATAAAGGTAAGAAGAAAACTGTAGGAGGTTGTGGGTGAGTTTTACGTCCACAGAGGCTTGACATATTTCATACAGGTAAGACTTCAGTAAAGACAGGATCGACTGAAAATATACAAGAGTCAGAATAATAAAGAAATGATGGAATACATGAGTGGTATGGTCAGATGAAAGGCCAGCTACATGATAATGAACGAGGGTTGTCCGTAAAGTTCGTTGGCAAGCAAAAAAAAAATAATAAAAGTTGCTTCATTGATATTTATCATTGGCATATTTCTGATCCTTTATTAAATTTGAATTACAAAATGTTAAATTTTATTCAATTTCAAACATTAAATTTCAATTAGGGCTTCATAAGTAGCCTTGAATTTTCACGTTCAATGTTTCAAAGTTTCAAAATGTCTGAGCAATTAAAGTCAGAACATGTAAGACAGTTTCAGAATCGTTCCAAAAAGGGACGTTTTCGGAATAATTGGAGCAGTAAGCAGTAATAAAATTCTTTCTAGACATCGGATTAACAGCTACTGTACAGAGACCAGCACATTCTGTAAACAATCGGGAAAGCATAGTTAAATAAGTCCTTCAATAACATAATTATTATTTTCAGAGGGAATAAACAGTTTACACAGGACATGCGTGAAGGAAAACCACTATTCTATTATTGCAGTGCTGCAAAAAATGAATTTCGTATCTTGATCATGGATTTACCGTATTTCCGTAATTAAAATCGTCTCTACATGGAAAAAAATGGATGATAGCAGGATATGAGACAGGCATTGTTTATACATATTATTTAACCTATGACATTGGACTTTTTGTGTACATTTTTATGACTGCTTAAAGTGACATAAGAAAAGTATTGACTTAAACGGTGACTATGTTAAGAAACGCTCGTATTTAACTTTTAGGTGGGTAACGTCAAGAATTTTCGTTTTAGTGCTCCGGGTATATAAGTTTGAAACTTTTTTTATATCTAATAAAAATATAACCATTTGTGCTCTGTTTTTAACAAAACATCTGAATTTTTTTAGAATGAAACATGAATTTTATGAAAATAATAGTTTCATATATTTTTTCAGTGTTTGTCGGAAATTATCAATGTTGTCCACAAACTTTAAGGACAACATTAATAATCAGTCAAATTCAGGAATTTCTAAAAAAGGCTCAATTTTATGACTATTATTGTATAGATTGGATTGAATTGAAAATATAGCAGTCAGGTTTGAATAAAACAAAAATTTATTTGAAAAAAATATAATTTTATTCTTTAAATTGCTGGAAGTCATCAAAGTAACAAATCCAAATATAAATTAATAGTAAAGTGTTCCTTCCTTATCAATTTTATTGTCAATGAAAAGGCACCCTCTTTCATAATTTTTATTTTTTTATTCATTTAATTTCTTGATTTCATTTTTATTTCCTTTATTTTTCCTTGAAAGACAATGATTTAGTTTTTAGTGGCCTTATATTGTCAAAACTTGAATTATATATATATTATAGTTTATTTGAAATTATTTCAATGAAAAATCTTTGCACATCTTTTCTTTTAAAGATCATTTGTTGAGTTCTCGCCAGAGATCAACCGCTATGAAATGAAAGTGGATTTACCGGGTTTTCCCGTACTATTTATATATAGCATCTGGTAATTTTTATATCCTAATCGGTAAAAATGGACTCCATTATCACGTATCCAATGTAAGTTTTAATGTGATTTGTATTTAAAATGCCTGCAATGTTTGTATCTGATTCAGTTAATATTGAAATGCTATTTGTACAAGTGACTGTTATTTCCTTCTTTTTTGTTCGTAATATCATAAGAATGTGAACAATTCATGCATGAGGTATATATATAAGACATATTTTACATCATCTTCCAAAGTAACTACTAGGATATATATAACAGCAATTTTTGAAAGCCTAGTAATAGTAAAATGCAAATAAACTTATATAATCATACTGATTATGTAAGTATTGAACGGATTTATAAAATAACATTATATAATACTTGTGTATAATATAAAATTCCCTATTGTTGATCATTAGAAAGAAAACCCTACAACTGATGTCCGAGTCAGTGTTTATGGGACTGTGTGATAAACTTGGGACTTCGACATTGGTGGCCATGAGGAGAGATGTAATGGACATCAGGGATATGGTGGTAAATCAAGCGACAACAATTGATGAGGGCAATGTGATGTGGAGCGGAAGTCAAAGAGAAGGACTCAGACTAGACGGATCAGATTTAGACATTATGTACTGGCCAAATGATCACCGTGTGATCTGGGAATTATCTCAGTCTCAGTTTTACAACACACACAGACAAACTCTGATCCTCTGTGACTGTTCTGATAGTCCACCAGGATTTACTTTGTTATATTTACTGTTACCAAGCAGCGATCAAAATATCCAAACAGCTTGTATTAGAGTGAATAACAGGTATTATATCTCCAGTTCAGAATACAGAAAGAAGACGTGGTGTCATGCAGTTTCAGCTTTACCTGACTCCTTTCCACATGGACCATGTGTAAGCGGATTTAAGAGATCACTTGAATATGATTTAGCAAAATGCTTCGCTTCTGACTTTTGGCCTCCATGTGCCTCCTCATGGTTAGACAGATGTCACTCATGGCCTAAGCCGCATATTATTGATGAGATAGTAAAGAATGGATGTCACTTTGTAGCAATAGGAAATACACTAGGACATCATGTGCACAATGAATGGAGAATTTCTTTCTCTTTTGCTGAACATAAACTTGTCAGTGCTATGAATCACTGTCAATTCTTAACTTATGGCTTGCTTAAATTATTCTTAACAGAAATAGTTAACAATGGACTAAATGATGATGATAAATTACTGTGTTCCTATCATATAAAGACAGCCGTTTTCTGGGTGATTCAACAAAATACATTACAACATTGGTGTCCTCATATTCTACTGGAGTGTTTCTGGATCTGTTTCAAACTAGTCCTTAAATGGGTGTATGAGGGAGTCTGTCCTCACTTTTTCATTCCTCAAAACAACATGTTTCTGAGTAAAGTCCATGGTGAAGCACAACATCAGCTATTTGTAAGACTGTATGAGTTGTATGAAAAGGGTATAGTATTCCTGCTACACAGTCCTTCCATTAGGTCTTGTATTATCAATGTCCTTCACAACTCCCGCCTCTCCATCTGTACAGATGAGCATTTTCTGATTTCTGAGGCTGAGTTTGATAAAAAGCTTTTGATGGAGATATACACCAATGACATACTTGACACACCAAATCTAGAAACCTGTATGAGATATATACATACAATAGAACAGATGGTACACTCTCCCCTCCTGACACAGTATCAAGTCGTGATGCTAAAGAAACTTGCAACTGCTGTCCTTCAGAAAACAGCTTTTATAATGCACATGGAAAGCTACACACACAAAAACAAACTGAGGTATAGAGCTGACAAATACTCCAGTCACATGCTGAAATTAGCAGCCAAGTTTGGTTTTATTACTGACATGATGTATATAGCCATTTATTATTCCAAGACACATAGATACATGGAAGCTTTATCTATTATAGAGACTATCAAAGTCAAGTTAGCACAGCCTTATGTGATGTATGGATTAAAAGTAGATGCAGAGATGTATACTGAGGCTGTAGGGGGACTGTCCTGGTTTATAAAGATGAGACAGGCTGTAGCATTGGATATTATATTTGACAATGACATCCATTACATCAGTGAACTGATACCGTAACAACTGTCTGCTATACAGAACAAGCATTTCGCTTTACTTATCCCACCATTTGTACTGTTATACATGCTAGAGATCTTGTGCTACAGACATGTAGACACAATGAGAGTACATACAGCTCTAGATGATCTACAGACCCTAGTTTACTATGATCAGGGACAATATATAAATATAGATTGCAGAGACATATCGTGGCAGATTCTGGGGATCTGTCACAGGTGACAGGGAAGCTCCAGGCTGCTCTATACTCATACCAACAATCTCTCATACAAACACCATTCAACAAAATACAGACAGCTACAGAAATAAGAATGCAGGGATTTTGTCACTAAGATAGTAAAGTTAGTAAAATAAATGCTTAACATTTGTGGAAGTCAATCGGATAAAATTTATAGTAAATATATATTTCTTATTCTACCATTTTTTCAGAATAACCATTTTACTGATTTGAAAACATTATTTCATATAGAAGTAGAGAAGTTTAGTAATCCAATTTTTACATAATGTTACAGATTATTTTCTAAAAATGAGAGGGTTGTCTCAGAAAAAACATCTTTTGTTTCACTGAGATTACAAAGTACAAAATTGGCATACATTACGATAAATATTTTTTTCATTATCCCTAAAAATTTGATTTTCATTGAATTATCTAAATATAAAGAATATGGAGATAACAAAAAGTTTTTTATATCAAACTACATAAAACAATACAAATTAGTAGAAAAGAAAACACGGGTCTTTGAAACATCAGAGGTGAGACTAGGTGCCATGAAGGAGTTTGCCGACCGGTCACATCCGCCGTGTGCTCCTTATCATGATCGGGAAATGACGGGATAATCCGTCGTCAAAACAGTGTATAAATAATGGACAAACAAAAAGATGAAAAACATTAGTCACCATTTGCTGACAAGGAAGATTTTTTTTTTCTCTCAGGTAAACGATCCAACTGTCCAATGATGACGTCAAACCTAGCTCAAAGTGTTTCTCAATTTGTTGGGGAAACTGTGCCTCTTATAAAATTTATTTTTGCATAAATCCCGCACTGTTCTTATTTTTTTTGGTATATTATACATTTCACTTACTAGTGTTACCAAAAAAAACTTCAAAGTAAATTCTTTTATTTGATAATTTTGCAATCAAGATCATAAAACTGGCACAATTGTTAACGGTCTTTACGTAGACCTTTGATGATTTGGTCCTCTATTTTCAGGTCATCTTTATCAGGAAAAATTCTAATTTTTTAACGTCAGATAACCAGTCATGTCAACCTCAAACTCCTTCAACTAAAGTTAAACCTATTTCAATTGGATTTTTTAATCGGTAACATCTTATTTCCCTACGTAAAAGAATTAACACCATCTCAACATAGTGTTCCTTAAAAATTTAAAAAAAAAAGTGGCTCAGCATATTAAGGTGCTTTAAATCGATAAATATGAACAATAATGTTGTTTTGTCTTATTCATCCGCATTGCAACATTTTTTATATATACTACGCATGCGTAAAAGTTAGTCCTATTAAAGTCTTGTTGTGAGATGTGTATTGTTTCATCATGTATATTATTAGTAACAATAAGTTTCTTGAACATTCCAGAGTGGTCAACATGTTTCGTCATTTTATTTAGAACATTTTTAAATTTTGTCCAGATTCTTCCACTCGACATGTTTATCATGTTTTACCAATTTCTAGAATATTCTAGATTTATGTTATTGTATAAATACACTGTCCATTCGATGCATACATATACTTTGTCGTATAAGCACTATTGAGATATAACTGGGATATATATTTTCACTGAGACATTGTGTGCGGCAACGGACACTCTGATGTATGTATTTTTAGATTCTTGCTAAGTTTGTACTTTATGTTTCATATACTTTTTATATATTACTGTAAATAAATTATTGTTAAGTTTAAATTGTGTTATTGATCTTTGCTGGCATTTAGGGTTATTCTGACCCATAACAGAGATGGGGGCTCGTCCGGTATAAAGAATTTCTTGCACTTTTGCAGCTTATTGTAAGAATATTGTTTATTGAACCGTTAAATTTGATTATAAGCCAGCAGAAATCAACATGGTGTTTTCGGTCAAAGACTTTCTTAGTTCACACTAAAATATTGACAGTAGTGAACGAAAAACTTCAAGAGTACTGTACAACTATATATTCAAGAAGTGGTGTAAATCAGATGTGGATACTTAAAAATTCTAAAGAACTTTTGGACAATTTGAAATCACAAGACTTTACAAAAATCAACAGTATAAAAACTTACGACTTTTCAACTGTATACACAACAATTCCCCACGACAAATTAAAATCCAGGCTTTTTGATATCATTGACAGCTGCTTCTTCAGCAAAAATGGAACTCGTAAGTTTACTTACTTCGTCATTGGTCATTTGAAAAATTATTTTGTTAAAACAGATTCTGATTGCACACATAAGTACTCTGAAGTTGACATCAAGAAGATGCTTGAGTTTCTGATTGACAATATCTATGTGGTTTTTGGAGACCAGGTATTCCAACAATCTATTGGAATTCCCATGGGTACAAATTGCGCTCCGTTATTAGCAGACTTATTTTTATATACATATGAAGCAGAATTTATGCAAAATCTTTTACGTGAAAAGAAGAAAACACTTGCTGTGGACTTCAACTCGACATTTAGATATATCGCCGACGTATTGTCTATTAATAATGATCATTTCCATTCCTACGTCGACACGATATATCCTGGTGAACTTGAAATAAAAGATACCACAGAGTCCGACACTTCTGCTTCATACTTGGATATTTTACTTGAAAAAGACACTAATGGTAATCTAACAACCAAACTATATGATAAACGTGATGACTTTAACTTTTCTATCGTCAACTTCACTTACTTATGCAGCAATATACCTTCATCACCTGCATACGGAGTATTTATATCTCAGTTGATTCGATATGCCAGAGCATGCTTTACGTATGAACAATTTCTTAAACGAGGTAAATTATTGACAAGCAAGTTGATGAAACAAGAATATCAGCGGTCTCATTTGAAGTCATCATTTCGTAAATTCTAAGGTCGATACAATGACCTTGTCAGCAAATACAATTTATCATTGAATGAAATGCTGACTGACGTTTTTCATACGGGTTGTTAGTCCATTATTTATAAACTGAATTGACCACAGATTTTTCCGTTATATCCTGATTATGACAACGAGCACACGGCGGGTGTGACCGGTCAGCAGGGGATGCTCACTCCTCCATGGCACCTGATCCCACCTCTGATGTTTCGGGGGTCCGTGTTTGCTCTGCTCTTATTTTGTATATTTGTTTAATGGACGTTGAGATTGAATACTAATCGTTATTTCCATATCCTTCATCTATCTTTAAAAAAAACTAACTACAATCATCCTGTGTTTGGGTCCATTACTTTTTACTTTACGTTACTTTACATCACTTTTTTGAGAAGCGTCCTCGAAATGTTTGGAGGATAAACTGACATCAGTGTCTGATTCATAGTCATCCAGTTGACTACGGTTATCTTCAGAAAACCAAACATTTGTCAAACAGTATCGATCGTCATTGTTGTTTGAAAACTGACGCCTGAGTGATTGCTTTATGACATGACATTCCATTTCAAAAGGATTGAAGTTTCTTCTTAAGGACAACACGCTGTACTGACAACTTTCTTCAAATATACCATAATCATTTAACTGTTTATCGTCCTTTAAAATCTCATCCTCTCTACTTCTAGATCTTGCAAAAGACTGTACAGACAAATCATGCCTGCAGTCGTCATCATACAAAAGGGCTAAAACCATTCCTTCTTCCTCCTTTTGGATAGACAAATTATTTCTTTTAGGTGAAAAATAGCTTGGAGATTGCATTATTTGAGAGGTTCTTATATCTGCATAGATATTTGTATCAAGATCTGTATCCGTTCTAGAACTTGTATGAATAGTTACCATGGATAGCGTTTGATCATTATGTTCTACTGACTCAGCATGGGAATCTAAAACTAAAACAAATTGATGTAAGCAATTCAATTTTGGTATCAAAAATATACCGTGTTCATAACAAAGATTGTATGTGTTTTGATATTTTTTAAAAACTCCTTTAAATTGGAATAAGAACAGATATATCCGAGTTCCTCATTTAAAACAAAGTTTTGTCTGGTTTGAGGAATTTTTACGATGACACATACGGAGAAACAAACATTATTCGAGATCAAAATCAAAATCAAATAATGAAATAAAATTAAAAAATAGGAGCAGAGCAAACAGAACCTCGAAAAGATCAAAGATGATATCAGGTGCATGTTTTTGAAAATTTTGATTACCTGTTTCCTGAAAACTTTCTACCTGGCTTCTTTTCTTTTTCCTGGCACTAATCATAACATAAAATTATGAAAAGATAGTATGCAATTAACAGCTTAGAATGTAAACAATACGATTTTTCCATTGAATAAGAAATGTAATGTTTACTTTGAATTGTAGTATAAAACCCATGCTGCTACTAGGACCACTAATATGAATCCCATCAGAGTGAAGAGAATCTTCTGCCATTTAATATCATCGGTAGGTAAAGGTTTTACATGCGTTGCTTAAAGTTAAAGTCCTTAATGTTTTAAATCAACTGATCATTTATTAACATTATTTATATATCTCTAATATCTCATTAAAAACCTGCTTCCAAATTTATTTTATTATTTCCTTTTTCCTGATAGATTAAGCATAATTTCTAAAATTTCCAAGATTGTGGTAATTTGACTTTTTTATTTGTTCAAACCACTTATATGAAAAGTGAACTAATAAATTTTAACTACTCTTGTTCCCAAGACATAAGAATCAATTGCAAAAAGAGAATTTACAATTGCAATAGAAATGCTATCAACTTTCATATTATTTCATATCATTTTCTAAAATTCCAAGTCTTTGAATATACTTTAAATTGATATTTTTCATCTTTTGATTACAACGAAAAAAAAATCGAAACTAGTTAGCATGATAAAATTTACTGTAATCACAGTGTATTTTAATGGGAAAAAATAATTTTTCACGGATATTCCATGTTAAACTGAGATTTAAAGCAAAAATATTCATATCAACATATCTACATCCATCAACTTGAAATACTTCACAATTATTATGAGTGCTTAGAAATTTCCATACATGTACTTGTAGATTTAGTAGAATCATGCAGCCCTTGAAAACAGTCAAGGGCACAAGAGCCATCTGAGCAATTACATTTCTCTCCACAATTCATTCCATTCCGACATCGTTCTGGAGGTGTAGGAACTGAAATATGTATAGAATATCAGAAAATATAGAAAGCAAAATTAAAATATGCCGATAAGAGAGGTCCTAAATATTAACTTGATTCTGATATTTGATTCGATAACTGAATTTTTTTATGTAATGTATGTTAACGGTAAGATTTTATACTTGATTCTTAAAATAAAAACCTGTATAAGTAGAAACAATTGTGTTGTTCTTTAGGCAGCCATTTACTCTATCACATATATGACTTGAGCAGTTACATGCTTCTTTACAAAAT